GGCAGATGATTTTTGTTACAATAGTGGTTAATGTTACATTAGTGGTTGGTTTTTGTTACAACAGTGGTTAATGTTACATTAGTGGTTGATTGTTACATTAGTGGGTGATACATATGTAACCCTGTACGCTGTGGTACCTCACTCAATGTTTATGTGTCAAATTTAGAGGTGGTAAAACTAAGTACTTCAACGTTTTGTAGGGCGTCCCACAAGGGTCGTTATGTTTTTCATCTTTTTTAAACTGTTTGTGTTTGGACCTCTCTAAACCGTTTCGTCATCTTCTACCACAACCTTCTAATATATTACATTGGATTATCATGTGCCACTGGTGAAATAAATTACAATACAAATCAGCAAAAATAAACCATGTAATGTAATGGATAACATGTTCACTAACATAAATTGTTATAATGATATCATAGTTAACAAATCATACAATTTTTAATTGGGATATTTCATATATGCAATTATTTTGAATTTATATGACCTATTGTAATATTAGAGGATCAATAATCCAAATCACGTATCGAGCAATCAATCAATCTTTATTTACCTGTAGATAATTCAGGAAACACTCATTCATTAATTCAAGAAATATTGTTTCATAACTGTTTTAACGTAAAAGGCTTATATGGGATAAGGTATGTACAATATACGTTTATTTTTCTCAGTGAATTCAACTAAAGTAGTTAATATTTAATTCAATAGTTGATATTCGGAGTGTTGACAACAATGCCGAATACACAAAGAGAAAGAAAATGTTTTTGTTTTCGAGGTCATAGAGCAAAGGGAACAGATCAATGCCTTACCGGTGTGTTACTTCCATTAGCATGATATACACAATTGTGCTTCGTTGTTCCTATTGGACTTTACGTATTTTGGCTGTTACTTAAAATTCGCAGGTAGTTGTATCGAACCATGGTCGAACCTCTTAGATCAATCAATTAATCAATCAATCAATAAACCAATCAATCAACTAATATCATAAAATCCCCTTTGTTGATCAATCTCGTTTGCAATTGTGTGAGTTTTAGGAGAGTTCACCCAGAATGCGCTGAAGAATTATAATAATTAATGACGGTGTACAGTAAAAATGGCCCCAAATGACAGGTAGGTAAAAATGGCCGCAATAATAAAAATCTGTATTAAAACTGATTTTTTAAAATCATTATATGCATTTTTAAACTGAAATAATTCAGTTTTTTAAAGGAATCTAACATCAAATAAATTGCCATTTACATTTTACTTTTTACAGGAATTATATATTAAATGATAAAATATTCAAAGATAAAAAAAAAAAAACCATGAATAACACTCTTTATTTTTTTTTCCATTTAAATGTTAAGAAATAGCAAAAATATAATCAATAAATCAACATAAATCATGCTTTTATTAATACTAAAATAATCTATTTGTTGCCAATTTCACGGAAGCAGAATCACAATTTTCCAGAAATTCTCTCCGGGTATTGGTAAACCCCACAAACAATGGGTTGATATGAACATCAAATTATTAGGCCTATTTATTTATTTTTGTTTTAAATGAGAGTTCTACAATCATAATTAAAGGATTTGAATGGGTTTCGCAGTGTGTTTGGAGGTTTGTGGTGTGTTTGCAAGTATTTATTCACAAAAAAAATCAACATTTTAACCAAAAAATAAATAGGTTCTTATGAATATTTAAATTCCTTATTGATAGGCCTATACCAAGTGAGTCAATCACAATTGAATTTGTTTGGTTTTTCTACGCTGTGTTTTGGAAGGTTTGTGGGATTTAGCAATACCATTAATATAGTAATAATATCTAATAATAATAATTTTAAAAAATAATAAGACCTAACAGCCGCCCATATAAAAAAGATCTATTAATTAATCAATCAGCAGGGGACTCCTAGAGCTACTCATATCCTAGGAGCTAAAAACTAAGTTATTTTATTTCTCAAATATGCTTATGGTTTATGTTGATTTATTAATTCAATTTTTGCTACAGGGTATTTTACAGCATTTATTTATTTATTTATTTATTTATTGAATTCTATAATTGAGGGCCATTTTGTATTTATTGATTCAATTCTTGTTTATTGCAGCATTTAAATATTTGAAGATTTAAAAAAAATAATTTCTATTACTGAATTTTTTCATTGGGGCCATATTTACCTACTTGTCATTTGGGGGCCATTTTTACTGGGCCATTTTTACCGGGGCCATTTTTACCGGGGCCATTTTTTCCTGCGCCACTTTTACCGGGCCATTTTTACCTACAATCATTAATGACAATGAATTTATTTAGAGTAGATTATTGAGAAAGGTTTTCTGTATGCAATTAACTTTTAGTGTAGGTCAAAGCTTAATAAGATTCAACATTCAACATGATCCAATATCAAGCTTTCACTTCAGCAAAAGTTTTATCATGATGCAAGACATTTGTAATTATATTTTAATTGGTTAAAATAAACATAATTTTCAGAGTCAAAATAAAAGTTAAAATCAGCAACAATTTAGAAGTTTACACTAAAGAATTATACATTGAAGCTATTATAACGTTAAATGCTAGGTACGATACAAACCAATCAAACAATAAAAGAAATGGATTCATCTTATTTGAAACTTGGTGTCTGCATTGAAATGACCTATAGACATCCGTATAATATTAATAATTATTTTTCCTAAATTACAAGAACTTATTTTAAAATACAATATCAAACTACCTTACTGTATAATCAAGTATATAAGTTTGTTATATTATATTTTAACATTTCGAAATTTGTTTGTTTGTAACTCTTTACTATGGTGCCATCGCAACTACTGATTGGAGACAATATACAGAAAAAATCAAATCTTATGAAATAATTATATAATAAGAATTAAATAATATAGCATTGTAAAACGTGTACAGTATTATCGTGTAAAAATAGCTAACTTTCACCAAGGACCCACTGGTAAGCCCAGCATACACAAATCAGTCACTAGTCATGATTGAATCTTTTTTATAAAAGCCACAGGATTAAACTCATTTTGCAAAAGAAAAAAATAATCAGGGAGCATAGAATAATTGTTAACAGAAAGTCAAGCATTGAGCAAAAAAAAAAAAAGAACACTTACTTTCCTAACTGTATACTCAGGTGTTAAGGTATTTTGAATGTAACAGTCAGTAACAATGTTATACAAACGTACAGTATAGATGCTACTCAATGGTATAATCTTTTAGGTGCAGCTTATGCATTTTATGTAATTAATATCAACAATTTGTTTGAGGCTGCCCCATTTGTTGTGTTTAAAACCGTATATATCTTGAATGTTACGTCATTTGTTAAATAACTGACATTATACAGTATTCATTCAATTTGCTGGTTATCTCTTTTGTCTCCTATAATAGGAGACAAAAGAGATAAACTCAGTTTAATGCGCAGGAGGTCGGTCAATAATTTACCGACCTCCTGCGCATAAAACTGAGTTTTTCGTAGAAATACGAAAACATTAATGTATGTGGCATGAGGGCAGATAACTTGGCGATTCTCAGTAGGCGCTATTGTGTTGCATTATGCGTAGAGTGGGTAATTGATAGCATGCATCAGAAATGCCCGTTCTTTCGCTGCATCATTTTCAAACGAAATAACTTGTCATTTAACTTGCTTACCTTCCCCCCACCCCACTTTCACCATTTATAAGGTGTATTTAGTTAGAATATTTTGTAATGTATTATGTAAAGCCTAACAATTTACAACTTTAGATGTACAATAAATATTGTAATTAGCATTTAACTGTATACTCAGTTGTTGAAGTATTTTGAATGTAACAATCAGTAACAATGTTATATAACTATTATATGTACAGTATTAATTGCCACCTTACGATATAATCTTTTAGGGGCAGCCTATGTATTTACATTTTATGTGATTAAATAATATCAACAATTTGTTTGAGGCTGCCCGTTACCGACCTCCTGCGCATAAAACTGAGTTTTTCGTAGAAATACGAAAACATTAATGTATGTGGCATGAAGGCAGATAACTTGGCGATTCTTGGCCCATTCTTTCGCTGCATCATTTTTAAACGAAATCACTCGTCATTTAACTTGCTTACCTTCCCCCCACCCCACTTTCACCATTTATAAGGTGTATTTAGTTAGAATATTTTGTAATGTATTATGTAAAGCCTAACAATTTACAACTTTAGATGTACAATAAATATTGTAATTAGCATTTAACTGTATACTCAGTTGTTGAAGTATTTTGAATGTAACAATCAGTAACAATGTTATATAACTATTATATGTACAGTATTAATTGCCACCTTACGATATAATCTTTTAGGGGCAGCCTATGTATTTACATTTTATGTGATTAAATAATATCAACAATTTGTTTGAGGCTGCCCGTTTGTTGTGTTTACTACGGTATATATTGTTAACTAATTCAGGTCCATACTAAACTCACATCGCTCGAAACAGCCTTCTGCGTAGGCATACAGTTTTTGGGTCCGCTCAAGGCGGACTCCAGAACCACACTGTTATTGTTGTTCTTGTTTTTGTTCTTGTTACCATAATTTAAAAAGCGTCCAGCATAGCCAGTTTTGAACGGACGTGCATAAAATTATGTACCCATAAGCTAGAGGTTATTTCCAACAAAAGTTTGGCCCTTTTTTAAGCTTGACCCTAAGGTTCCCCCTACACCTACAAAACAAAACAAGCGTTTCAGCAAGGACTGTACATTACTGCTATTACCACTAATAGGGCAAGTCACTTGAATGGCGCGGTCGGTTAGCAATGTGTTCTAAGGAAATAAGGAAACTAAAGGTCGTGAGTTAAAATCGCGTCTTGGTATTTAATTAAATTTATTTATTTATTTATTTTTCATTTAAATTTTAAGACATTTTATTTTATATTTTTTGATCTATTCATTTTTATTATGAAACATTGCCGAAAACCCAATACTGACGCCACTTTGTACTATGTTTATTTATTTATTATTGTTCCTCCACGATTTAAGCATGTTGTAATAGGTGCAAAAGCGTTAACACTGAGAGTTAACCCCAGTTGAACTCGCAGTGTTGTTTATTTCAAGATATCCGTTTGGACTTCAGGAGCGTATTGTGGAGGAAGAAAACCATGTTGCACGTAAGGATATGTATTGACGGCGACAGGTACTGATTCAGATTTTGAGTACAGCGCAACAGTATTTGGATTGTCAAATTGATGATCAAGCTTAGTGACAACGTATGGTGATTCTCCGGTTGCTTGATTTCTTCCATAAGTTCTAATGGATGATTCATACGTTGGCGGTTCTGGTTTCAGATCATAAGGTGATTCATAGATGTGGTTATCTTGTCCACTGTGTGCTTGAGGTAAATGTGTAGCATAATGGTCCGCGATGTTAGATGCAAGTCCTTGAGAATCTCTAGGTTCCTGTGGTCTAAAAAAAATCGTATATAATAATAATGTAATGATATTTTCGTTGTTGTTGTGGTCATTATAATTAAAATTTTCAATAATTTTTTCACCAACGTAGTATAAATTATCATCAACACCTAAATGAAACGGAATTAACTAAATGATATACATAAGATGCTGGGTTATCCAAATGGTACTCATTTGAACCCAAATAAAAATGAATGAAAACCCAAAAATGAAACCCCAAATAATGCGGGATCACCCAAATTAAACGAAAATCTCCAAAATGAATTGAAATTACCCAAACGATAGCCCAAATCACTCGGTTATGTCGTTTATATGAAAACAAACATCAAATATAATGTTATGTTAGTAGTCCTAGGTATAGCAAATAACTATGTCAGGGCTCGTATTTATTAATTTATTATTTTGTGAAGTTTTTATTCCTTTATTCATACTGACATTTGTATATTATTTGTCCAACTCGTTCATTTTAGTATTTCTAATTAATATTACCGTTAAAATCTTTCGTATTTTAAACATATTTATATGATAAAGGTATTGGCATTTATAACGTGTTTTATTATTTGATAATACTGTAAATAAGTGCCGCTCTCGATAAAGCGCCACACCAAACCTGATTATTTTCGCTAAGCGCCGCTCTAAAAAAAAACAAAAAAACGCCGCGGCGGCGCTTAAAGACGAGGGTATATAATTATTACCCTGTGTGTAATGAAACACTTTGAGAAACAGTGTTTTAAATTCAATGTATACAGTGTTAAAATCAGTGACCGTTTATTTACAATGACAAGGACCTATGATAGGTCTACCGAAACGGGACGTAGGATAGGTAACATTGGAAAAGACATGGAAAGCTCCACGTCAATACAGTACATTTTATAAGCGCCGCTTTCGAGTAAGTGCCGCTTTCGAATAAACGCCGCACTGAAGCCTCCAGCGCTTATTCGAGCATATACGGTAATATTAATAATAATACTTTTTCATCTACAAATATGATTTATTCTGTTAATGATTACTAATCATGAATTTCAAATTTCAAATTTAATCAAAATAACCTCCAATGAGGAGAATCATACAAATACAATCAAAACAATATGATTCAAATTAAAAACGTGACTTAAATAATTACTAACTGGCATCAAATTCATTCAGACATTACATTCACTACTCAATGCTTTCATCTACGAGCAGAACTAGAACATTCCATGGCACCTTTTTGTCTTTCCTTATATTGTGTAATTAGCATGAATAATGGTATTGATAGGCCTAGTATTATTATTGAGTCGTCAGTTGTTGAAACAAAAAATTATGACAACAAGAAATGTAGACTATTGAACACTGTATTTAATAGTGTAGTTTTATATACCGCACATATCCATCTATTGTAAAGATGCTCAGGGCGCTTGATATGTGGACTAGGAACTCGATCAATGACTTTCTTCGCCCATAAGGGTCCCTTCGTGTCTGTGCTACCCGGTAACCCGGTACAAGCAACTCTCGTCGTCCACCACAGGGACATGTCTGTTCCAGTACACCGGGGTATCTCCCTGCTCGTCTCGAAAGATGCACTGGGTTCTTTATAGTGCACACGAGCCATTGTATACACTGGGACTACGGTTAGCCCTTATCCGAGAAGACTTGTTCTACCACCTGGCCAGAACCATTAGGCGAGCGTGCCGTTCGAACCAGCACCAATATTATGGCTATAGCTTGCGGCGCCCCTGCCAACCGCTAGGCCATTCGACTCATTATTTTCGAAACTCATTATTTTCGAAAGAAATTTTCGGCCAGTCCTCAATTTACACTACTATCTAAATACCTGACCGCTTGATCTTTGTTTGATTTCACTACAGTACATTACAGCATATTAGATTCCACTATTGGCCTATAATCCGTCTACACCACAATTGTATTGTATATATATTGTACAGCATATAACTCGCAACAGTATATATCTTGTGCATTCAGTAAAGCTAATGAAAGCCTGAGGACTGGCCGTAAATTTCTTTTGAAAAATGGTGATGAGAGTCATCCTTGTTTAGTTCCTTTGCGGATTGATACTTAATGTAAAGTATAGTATGTGTAGTATTTGTACGTGTTATTTCATCTAACTTATTTATCCATTACATACGCTATTTGCGTAATATTTTAGGAAACTATTTCTTTATTCATATAGACTTTTGTTTCGCATTTAGGCTCATTTTTTAAATTCCTAATTTTAGTTTAAATGCGTAACAAATACCCTGATCGAAAACTAATTAGGTGTTGCCAATCTGAAATAAACAGGTTTACCAAAAAGTGTTTACAACAGTAGGCCTAGTACACCTGTTTAATTCTGAAGTGCTAGATTTATTAAATAAAAATATAACCGCAGTGGTACAGTGGTAGTGAGCCTAAAATAACAGTACAGTTAACTTTCAAACATTCCCGCCGTGAAGTCGAAAACGGTAAGGTTATAAAAAATAAACTTGGATATAAGCCAGTTTGAATTAAATGTACCTGAACAAATCCCTAATATGCGTGTATGTTATTTTGCTTTGTATTCATACAAATGTAGATTATTTTATAAATGTATGTTAACATTCTACTAAACAATAGAAAAATAAATAATAAGCCTAGTAATAGTGCAGATAATAATAATAAACAATAATAATAGTAGTTATAAAAAATATATAATAATAATAATAATAATAATAATAATAATAATAAAATAATAGTATAAATATAATAATAATAATAATAATAATAGGGCTAATAATTCTTATTTTCTTCTTAATAATAATAATAATTTATTATTATTATTATTATTACCATGTATTATCATTTGGGTAGTTCCGTATCATTTCGGTATCATTTGTGTGATTCCGTATCATTTGAGTAATTTGCCGGACCGTGTGGTAAAAGGCTAAGTGGTAAGAGGTCGCGTGGTAAATTGAGTCTCTGGTGAGTTTACATAAAAGTTCACATTTTAAGGCCACCATCATTAATAATAGAAATATACCTTTTCCGCTCTTTAATCAAAACGATGATGATGATAAGCAGGATGATAACGATTAAAGCAATACTGCCGAAAGCACCACCGATGATTACGATATAATCATTTCCTAGAAGATGAAATTCAGAAAAAAAGGATAATAAATTTGAAGCATTAAATAGGATGGTTTTTTCGGTTTGTTTGTTAATTGGTGATATATTTAGTATATAAAATCAACTGAATTAACAAGCATTGCAAATCTGAAGATTTTCATTAAACACAACATTATTAGTTTATAGTCAATAAGATTTTTCATAAGGCGAATTTCATAACAATGTTAAAAAAGAATGCGCTTACGGAATATTATGATTTTTCTATAAAAAGTTTTGATATTTGCTTTAAAAGTGGATATTGCCGAAGATTGTTTAAAATGTAATGGTGGAGAGTTCCAATGAAAGTAGCTGCAAAGGTGAATAATCCGATAGCGTTGATGTTGGTTTCGAAAGGACCAAGGGGAGTATACATATTTTTGAAGTATTAAAGAACGTAGTTAAGGCTATGCAAAGATTGGACATCGCAGTGAATTTCAAGAGCTTAGTCGAGATGCTTGCTGTGTTCAATTTGTTTAAAGACTAAAACATCTCCACTCCCAAAGCCTCATAAATTCTTCACTCATAAAAGCATCACGGTATTTAATTTATTTAAGAGGGCCCTGAATATCAACCGATGCACTGGTAGGGTCACCCTTATAAATGTGGTTAAAAAAAGACAAGAGCTTTGAAAGTCAGGAGAATGTTGCACTTAATTCGGTGATAGACGTTAAACCAAACATTATGTAAATGGAAGTAGGGCCTAATATTTGAGAGGAGCGTTTGTTAGTGAAAAATATATTTTACTGCAGTGCAGTCGTTGGAGACTGTTAATAGAATTTTTGAGAGAGAATTACAGTCTATTGCAGATGTTATGAAGGCATGTATAACTGTTTGAGTGTTGTGGCGAGACACATAGTGCAATACTACAAAGGTGGAAATTGACAGATTTGGTCATTTTGGATAATAAGCCACTTTTACAACAACATTTATAACGATGCAAGCTGGGGTATCTATGCATGGCCGGACGAGAATCGACAGCAGGAGGTTCGAACTCCCACCATCAAGGTCTGGAAATCAAATCTGTTACCTGATTGCATCTCTTGTGTTGCATTCGCCCCTACCGATGTCGCATGTCCTTTTAACAAAATATAATAAATATCTCATGGTATATCTTTCCGTGTCTTTAGTTATTGATATTTACCCAACAAACATCAATAGTACATATATTTATATATACATATACTTATATATATATATATATGTATTATATATATGTATATATAATATTATTATGCATGCATGCATACATACACACACATATATATATGTATATATATGTATATATCTATATATATATATATATATATGTATATATATGTATGTATATATTTGTATATATCTATATACATATATGCATGTATATATGTATATATGTATATGCATATATGCATG